GTTAATTATAGTGGGTAATGTGTTAAATAAATAAAATAAATAAGACAGTAAGAGACATGGATAATCTTTATTATTTTTTAGTAGATCTGATATATTTCTGACATGTGTATATTGAATATTTTGTCATTTAATTTTCCAGCATAATTTTTCCACCTAAATATTTTATCTACCTTACTTTCCTATTTTTCGAGATATGGACTTTAGATGGAAATTTAGATGTTAAAAAAAATGATAGGACTTAACTATATAGGGTGTTATTCAATTTAATTCGCACCTTTAAAACAAAAGTGACATACATTATTCAAAAAGTACCTAACTTACGTTTTTTAACTCATTATTTTATTTTTTTACGTTTCTGCTCAACAAATATATTAAAACTATTATAAATAATTCCATTAATAACAAAATAACAAATGAAGAATTGCTATGAGTAGTATCTTAATAGTGTACTTTGTAGGACAAAATAATATCAAGTGCTGTCCTGTAAATTGAGAATTTTTATAATGTATCAATTTTGTTTTGAAAGAACCATATTACCAAATGACAATCTAGAATCGTAAATATAAAATAGTATTTGCCAGTTTGTAACAAATTGTAACAGAAAATTGGTTTAATAAAAAAAACAACTTACCTATTAAACTGAGAATTATAGGAAAAACAGTATATAATATGCACAATGCACATGTAGTTAGTATAATCGGTATGTATAACATTGTCTATTTTATAATAAAAAAAAGTAAACCATTTATCTGAAAATATAAAACGCTAAACCGTGTTAGGCAAATTTTTGAAAACGAATGAAGTATGATATATATTTATTTATATAAATTACTCATGAATTCTTGTGTAATAATACCAACTCGACAGAAATTCATAATATACTACACATACTACACATATTAGTACATTTTAACGAAAATAAAATACGTTTTACAAACTGAAAACAATAGGATTTACTCTACAGTGCCCAAAAAAATTGTTTTTATCTTACTCCAACAGAAAACTCAATTTTATATAGACGTCAAAACGCATCTTTTCTTGGCTAGCCCGGCAAAATAACTAGAAATAGCTAGCTAGTAAAATAATCGCATTAATTTGCCGCTAGATGGTGTACCTACCACTTAATTTTGACAGTTCCTTTCACAATTTATTAATAAATTATTTGTTTGCATTCTTTATTGAGAATAGAAAGTTGTTTATTCTGCTACAGGTTGTGTTTAGTGATATTTATCTATGATGTAGAGTAGACAAGTTGTAGTAATTTATTCAAAATAAATGCCGCAACACACATTACACATACATGTTGTGTGTGTTGCCGTCAAGGAGTTAATATATAAATAATTTCTGGCAATTATTTTTGTGGTTCTTACCAATGCGGACTTATTTATTTAAATTCAAATTTCTTTCCTTAAGCCAAAGTAAAGTAAATTGGTTTATAATATGGAATCTTCTAGTGAAGGTGAAGAATTTAGTTATTGCACACCACTAGATATTAATGAAAAAGCTAAAAAAAGTTATTCTTGATTTATTACCAAAGAAGTCCAAAGAAAAATATTATTTTCAACACCAATTATTTATGAACTGGTGTATAACAAACATTGTGAAAAGATATAGTGGATGTGTTATTTTAACATATTTATCAGAATTATCAAAAAAATACAAACCCTCTACGCTATAGTAAAATTATTCTATGCTTAAAGCTACACTTTCGTTTAAAATTGATGTAGACATTGGAAGTTACAAAAAAGTAACAGCTGTTTTAAAAAACAGTCAGTAGGATGTGCTCTTAAAAAATCAAGAATATTTTCTTGACAAGAGTTCGCAACTTTTTTGCAAACTACTCCAGAAAAAGAATATTTAATGATAAAGGTAAAAAGTGATACTCATTGGTATTTAAAGTGTATTTACATTTACAATTGTTTAAATATACAGGTGTTATTTATCGTTGGAGTAGCAGGTGCTTGTAGATTTAATGAACTTAATAATTATCCACTAGAGTTTCGAAGGACATATCTTAGCGAGAAGTTTCTGACAAAAGTACACCTACTACAAAACATAGAACTTTTTAGAAATATTAGCCGACTACATGTATTTGACCTTGTTAATAAATATTGGAAATTAAAAAATTCCCCACCATTGTGCATTGCGTTTCAACAATGCCAAACTCAGTTGCCTAGCATATATAAAACTGATGATCTAACACAACTTGTTGACTATCCTCTATTTCTTAACAAAAATCGTGTCATTCAACCATATTATGACTCTGATGTACGCATAAGTAGAAATATATTAAGATCATTTCTATCTAATTGGGAAAACGCCCTAATCATATATACTGATGCTTCTAAAACCTCCACTGGAACAGGTTTTGCTTATTATATTCCATCTAGAAACATAGAGAAATCACACAGCCTGAATTCTGCATTTTCTATTTTTAGTGCCGAAGCTGTAGCTATATATGAAGCTTTACTATATGTCGAATCGACTAATTACAACAGTGCTGTACCACTTTCCGATTCTCTATCTGTTTTAAAGGCCTTGGAAGATACAAAACTCCCAACTGTTAATTGTAACCCATACATCTTTAAAATTAAAAAACTTGTCGCAGAGTTATCTCTAACTGGTACACTTATTCGTTTCTTGTGGATAAAAGCTCATATAGGCCTAGCAGAAAATGAACATGTCGATAAACTTGCTAAGGATAGTATTAATATTGGAAATCCACATGCAGACTACAACTTATGCGTGGGTGATTACTTTATTACTTTCAAAACCAAACTACGTTTAATGTGGTCGCATTCATGGAGTGAATTTTCTTTCACTAACCCAACAAGAGACACATTGTACATCCGACTATACCCACAAAATATTGGCACAAGCAGTTTAATATTCCTCGCAAATTTATCACAACAATAATTAGACTCAAATTTGGACACGTATGTTATCCCCAACATCTTTCTCGTATAAATGTTATACCTAGTGACAACTGTGAACACTGTGGAGTTATACGTGATCTAGATCATATTTTCTTTGAATGCACAATGTATCAGAATCTGTCAAATGAATTATATAAAAAACTGTGTAAATATAACTGCTCCGTTTAATGTATTGTCAATTTTGGCTTCATCTAAAAAAGAAAATTTTGATTGTTTGATAAATTTTCTGTCAAAAGCAGATATAAGATTGTAGTAGACTTGTTACCTTTGTTTTTGATATATCCTAATTACCTTTGTTATATTACCCTACCCACTGCGTGGCCTATTTCTAGTGTGCCTTGAAAAAAATGTCCTGATGGGTCCCTGGACGAGAAGCGAGTGTCCTTGTTTATTTCCTTTGAAAAGTATTGTCTTTTTAATTTTTGTTTGACGTGATAGGTTGGTTTTATTCCGATGGATTATTATTTTTGTTGCTATTGTTGTTTACCATTTATTTTGTATTGTATTATTTATATTCATTAAGTGACTGGCTGAATGAGACAAAAGTCCAAGCCAAAAAAAAAAACTTAATAATTTAACAGTAGATGATGATTAATATAGCAGATTTTTTAAAACATACAAGCCGAGGAGATTCACTATATGTAATCGAGAAAAAGAAATTCACATTTATGTTGTTTTAATATACAAGAAATACTTTTCTTTACGTCCAGACAACATGAATTTTCGTCGTTTATTTATAAAACATCGCGGATAAAAATGTTGGAGACCATACAATTGGGTTAGTACTATCCAAGATAGCTGAATATTTAAATTTGTCTCAAACAAAAGAATATACAGGACATGCATTTAGACGAATATCAGCAATATTTTTAGCTGATTCAGGAGCAGACATCTATCTCTGAAGAGGCATGGCGGATGGTTGTCAGCTAGTATAGCATTACGCTACGTTGAGGACTCGATCAATAATAAAATATCAGTACCTAAAAACATTTTAGGCAGTACAATAAAACTCCAAATACGACAATTTCGTGAAAGAAAATATTTGCAAATGCCATAAATGAATTTTCCATAGATCAACCATCGACTAGTAGACATCAATTTATCAACACATCAGTTGTGAGAGAGCATTGTACAAAAATGGATATTTCTGGTTCACCACAAGCGGGACCATCCTTTTATAATTGTGTAACAAATAATTTAAAATTTAATACAACATAAGTTTTGTAAATGTTATAATATATTTTTAAAGAAGCAATAATAATCATTTTATTTTAGTGCAGGGTAAAGTTTTCTGTTGGTTCAGGACAAAAAATAGTACCTATGTAAACCACGAGAGTAAAGTGATTTTCCATGCCTCGCAAAGTATCCTGGCTCGGTTCGGCCTCGCCTGTTCATATCTTTACTCGGCCTAGAAAACAGTCACTTTACTGCCTAGGTATACAATATACTATTAATTTGATGTAAGTTAATAGTATTTAACCGTATTGGATCATGATTTAGCTAAACAATCCATTTGCGATTTATCAACGTATATATTATCTAACATATAACCTTTGTCATCATCAAATAGCATATATATTTCTAAGACCTTTTCTGGTACTAACACCTTTTGAAATTTACTGTAATTCTAGATGGGCAACCCATCTTGCTTCGCTAAGCAAGTAAAGCTTACCCTCCTGGCAAGCGTTACGTGTTGTAGAAAATCCTAATAATAACGTCCCCTAGTGGTGGGTGCCTCAGTGGTAGAGTCTCTGCCTGTGGATCCAAGGGTCCCAGGTTCGAATCCCACCGTTGGCTGGGATTTTTTTATTTAATTTAATTATTTCAAATTAATTCTGGTGCCTTGGTAGGATTCCCCACTCGACCATTCACTGTTGGGTTCTAATTAACAGTGCTGTTCCTAAAGTGGCGCTGGGAAACAGTAAAAAAGCCTACACAGAACACGAGGCTAATGGCCTTAGTAGTCGATGCCAATGACACCAAAGTAAAAAAAAAACTTCCCCTGTTTTCTCATATAGGTATCGTAGTTAACTGATTTCACTCTAACGCATTATTTTGTTTCAGGTTCGACCAACTTAGTAGGAAAATTTACTCAGAGCGTGAGAAGAATAGTGCAAGATGTCAAGGATGAAGGGACAGCTACAGGAGCGACAAAGGAAGAAGTCATCGATACTAATGAGCGATTACGAGCAGTCAGAGTACGCATGGACGAGTCCTACGATACTGCCAAAAAAGCTTTAGTTGGTCTGATGGGAAAGTACAATGAGAGCAAGAACGTTCATAACATATTTCAGAGATACACTATGCTCAAAGCAATGATTAAGGTGAGTTCGTTTTAACTATACTGCGGACTATAGTGATAATTTCATAATGATCTTACGGCAAGCTGAGTTGTCGCTTACATTGGAATTGTGCTCCTTTTCATAAAATAGTAAAATGATACACATGACACTCATCCTATGTCACATGGGTATGGATAAGAATCTACTTTCCGCATATGCTATCGTTTCAATTTTGAACTATTTCTAAAAAATGGCAACAGCAGCTTATGGTGTCATAGATTTGATACTCGGGGGGCATTTAATTTCTAAGATGGCGTCTTGTCCAATTAAGCCGTCCGGACTAGCTCCAAGAAAATAGTTTTCTTCATCAATAAACAACCCACATGTAATTACTTTTAAATTAGTTAGGCTTTCAAACGCTTCTATTGCAAAAGACTCATGCAATTTTCCAAATTTTGTATTTGAGTCGCCTCTAAAAGTGGTATAAAGAAGAGTTTTTACTGTTTTTGATCTTAAAGTTGTGATTCTCATTTTACAAATTGTGCCAAAGTTTGATGCTCTGATTCTCTTTTGTCGTTCCTCTAGCCACCGAACCGAAAAACTTTGACCTCTGGTTGCTTGTTCTATTTCAGCTATTTCTTCTTTCGTTTTTTTTTAAATTGCTAATAAATGCTAATTCCTCTTTATCAAATTCTTCAGAATCCATGTCTGGTTGTGCTTGTGCTGTAGCCCTATAGTCACAATCAGCACTAGCTTTAGTTTCTGTTTTTTGCGTGGCTTTTAACATTTGTCGTCGAGCTTTTCTTTTCTCACTCATTAAATTATATCGTTGTTTCCGGAGTTCATTTTTTTTATAAACCTTTTTGTAAAAATATCTGGACTTTTTCTTACTTGCTCATTAGTAATAAAAGAATAATATCCCGGCCCAACATTATAAGAAATAGCAGCCGCTTCACATCTTGTTTGGTAAGAGCGCCTTTTTGTAAAATTTATTCGTTTCCCTTCCACAAATTTAAAAACTGTTCATATAAATCTGCACGTCTTTGTACAAACCACATTCTCTCATTGCAGGAACAAAATTAACGTATTTAGCCTTCTTATCACATGGAAAATATTTTATTTCTTCACATTTTTCATGTTCTCCGAAAACATGCGAGGGTACATTTAGTAAATCTTGATGTAAATTGTTTATCGTCAATTCATAATCAAGTTCTTCTACAATCTGTATTTAAGGGCTTTTGTGGTAGAAAATCTTAAACGTTCAGAATTTTTTTCTAATTCTTTCCGTAACGCAATAGGAACTGCCATGTAAGCTGATGAACTTCTCTTTTGTTCTAAAATAAAATTTGGAATTTTAGTAAGATTATTTTTATCAATTGTAAATGTACCTACTACATATTTCGCGAAGGTTTGATGAAAAGTGTCGCAATAAATGATTCCTGCATTCAATTTTTTTAATAATTGTTTGAGGACCATATGGTTTAGTTTCCATTAGTTTGGAATAAACTGAACTATCGCCGTCACCAACTAGTTTCAAGTATTTTAAACCATGAGTTGCGATAATTTGCTTAAAACCTTCAATAATAATGTCACTTGCCATGGCAGTTGATGTACCAGTCCAGTTTTTAACACAATTGTGAAAAGGCACATTTTCATTATTGCAATGAAAGTTACAAAAACTGCAATATTTATTGCGGACACCCAAATATAATAGTTTTCCTGTCCAGAATCTATAATGCAAGCCTGAAAATAAAGAAAATGTTTGTGTTTTTAAAGCCATCAATTACAAATATTAGAACACTTACTACTCCTGAAGCCGCATTATAATTGACTTTGTAGGAACGTTTACACCATGCTCCATCAGCAACCACGGTAATATAACGTATTCCATTTTCATCTATTTCTCCTAGATTTCTAACTAATTCTGCTTCTTTCCTACCAGCTTCTTTCATAACTTTAAAACTTGCTAACGAAATGATATCCGATGTTTTTTCGTGCATATTGTTATACAATTTTTCTGTCATACAGGGCATGTTTATAGCAGCTGTCAACTCCTCTAAAGCAGAAAATCCAATTCCAGTTGAAATAGTACCTAAAGTTACAGCTGAATTAACGTCAATCGTTTTCGTTTAAGATGAAATTTTTTGTGGATTTTCTGAATATAATTCTTGTATAATATTACACATTTTACATTTTATGGTAAACGTGGACATAAAACCTTTTCTATTTTCTTGAATAAGATTCATGTCACTAATGTTACAGTCAAATGGTTCGTGTCTTTGACTATTAAATATCTGTTTAAAAAAAATTTGATATCTATAATTCTTCGTCCAGACAAGAGTCCATCAAATAGGTCCCTAAAAAAGTTATGTTGGTAATCACCTTAAAATTGTTTTAACTATTTATTTTTGAACGTATACTAACCGTGAGTTTTCTCTCACGTCCTCCGATAAAGAAGCTTCAGAGCTCTCCTCATTAGCCATCTGGAAATTATTCCAGGCTGTGATTCCGAAAAGGCACTCTTATTGGTGTCGACCTCATTAATACTGTAATATATTAGTAATGTATAACTAATTATTGAATAAAAAGAAAATTTTAATTGTACAAGATATTTCCAAATTCGCCCAACACATAACACGTGTTTATTCTTCATGCAAGAAAGACATAATTGTAAATTTTAATTTCAAGCACTATTAATAGATGTACAGGTTGTTAAACTGTCTTAAAAATAACGTATAAACTGCCTGTGAACGTTCGGACCTAAAATGCCGTTAATTATCACGATCTAAGGCATTACGCAGTAACAGCTCTTTTCATAATTTATACATATTTATATTTAATAACTGATATAAATATATAGGGATGTCCTTATTTTTACTATTACTGTATACAGATAAGGAAAGTATAGGAATCATGATTTTTTGACCTCGAGTTTTTGACGAATTTTTACGTTTTGAGGTCCCCTGAATCCGTTTTGACTATTTTCGCGATGATGTCGAACGCACGCGGCTGTGTGTGTGTGTGTGTGTGTGTGTGTGTGTGTGTGTGTGTGTGTGTGTGTGTGTGTGTGTGTGTGGGTGCGCGCGCGCGTGTGGGTGCGTGCGATCGTGTGGGTGCGTGCGCGCGTGTGTGTGTGTGAAAAACACCAAATTTTAAACTTAAACTTTATTCCAGTCTACGGTAAACTGATAAGATTTTGGGCGGAGTCGGAACATCTGGAGGGTACTTTATAGGAAGTAATTTTTATATTTTCTGGAATATATCTGTTATTTACGTTTTGAGAAGAAATTTTTTTGAATAAAAGTTTCTTCTTATACTATTCTCTATAATATTTGTTTTATACAATTTTTTTTTAAATGGTCCGTTATCGAGAAATTTACCAAAATGTAAAAATTCAAATTTTTAAGAAAACTATTCAAGTGAAAGTTGATTGTAATATTATTCTCTATAATTCTTGCATTATACATAATTTCTCTAAAATGGACTGTATTCGAGATATTTGAGAAAAAGTGTCGTTCGAATTTTAAGAAAACTCAAAAACGGATAAAGAGAAAAACATCAAATTTTAAAATTAAGCTTCATTTCGACCCGAGGTGAATTGATTAGATTTTGGGCAGAGTAGGAACATCTGGGGGTACTTTATAAGGGTCGTTTTCATATTATAGAATATATCTGTTAGTTACATTTGGAGAAGAAAATTTTGTAAATAAAAGTTATTTCTAATACTATTCTCTATAATTGTTGTCACATACAAAATTTTCCTAAAATGATCCGTATTCGAGAAATTTTACAAAATGATATAAATTAAAATTTTTAAGAAAATTGTTCAAATGAAAGTTGTTATATTATTTTTTATAATTTTTGTTTCATACATAAATTCTGTGAAATTCGAGATATTTGAGAAAATGTATAAATTTCGAATTTTGAAGCAAACTCAAAGACGGATAAAGAGAAAAGCCACAAAATTTTAAACTTAACCTTTATTTTGGCCTGCGGTGAAATGATTAGATTTTTGGCAGAGTCCGGAACATCTGAGGCGTACTTTATAAGGGGCCATTTTTATATTTTATGGAATATAACTGTTATTTATATTTAGAGAAGAAAATTCTTCAAATAAAAGTTACTTCTAATATTATTCTCTATAATTTTTGTATTATACATGATTTCTCTAAACTGGACCGTAATGGAAAAATTTGAGGAAAGTGCAAAATTGAAGTATTTCAGCTTTTTCGTTGGCAATGAATTTATACATATATAAAAATGTTTTCAGTAAGATGTATGTGGAACATGTATATATTTAGTTCATCTTCTAAACATTTACAATAGGTTGTACAAAATAAACAGAAAAAGCCTGTAATAACTAAATAGGAAAGTAATGTGTTGGAAACATCAGATTTTTATTTTAAGTGTAAAAAATAATGATTTTTATATACTTACTCAGAGGCAGTGTTGATGTCTAAAATATTATTTTGAATTTCAGCAAGAATCGGACGATTACTATTCCTAAAAAAGTAATTTAAAGTTTTAAGTTTACTGAACAAGCAAAATTAATAAAAGCTTATCTGAACTTTAAAAATATTTTTGTACTAATTAAACCTTGGGTAATTTCACCTTACTTTAAATCTGTTAATGATTTAACTTACCTAATAAGTTTCATCTTCTTATGCGTGCTTTTTCGTCTTGCAGAAAGCGACAAAGTTTTTTCTAATAAAAGTTTACGCCCCATAACTTAAGTCTTAATTTTTATCTCACTGGCATATATAGGTAATACCTTAATTAAAAACTAGATTAACTAACAACTAAATTAACTAAAAACTAAATTAAACATAAATCTAACAACGACTCAACAACAAACTAAGACAATCACAATAATTTCGCACCTCTTCAAAAACAACTACCTATTTTTCGACACAGGAATTAAGGCTGGGAAATGGACTAAAAATGGCGGCCGTTTCTGTCATTTTACAACGTGTTACTAAATCATGCTTTTTAAATTAATAAAGAAAAATTACACGGAAATTGAGTTATAATCATATACAGCA